ACCCCCCCCCCCCCCCCAAAAAAAAGTCAAATACTTAAGCCATCAAATAAGGAAAATTGGAGTTATGGCCGATTAGTCAAATACTTAAAAACTACAAACACGTGACATATACGTTCACGACACTTATTTTTATTTTTTTTTATGTTTATATCTATAGGTATATTGTCTTTTCGTATTTGGTTACTAAAAACATTAAACTCTTTTATAAAATAGACACAATTTCTTTATCAGGTTCGAAACAATTTTTACTCTCAATTTAAAAATGTTATATCAGTCTTATTCAAACTTAATAAATCGTAAATATGCTCTCGATTTACTTTTTACGGATTTAAATCTTGGTAAATTCATTAGTTTTAATAAAATAAAATCTTATATAAAAATGAGTTGTATTGAATTATTTTTTCTAAATTCATAAATTTCAATAACAAAAGATATTTAGTCATTTTTCTCTAAACGTTTTATTAGATAAGATAATTAGTTTCATAAATAAATAAATAAATAATGAACAAATTAATTAATAAATAATATAATATTAACTTCACCACTATTTTCTTTTAATGCAACCACTCATTCAAGTCAATAGTTAAATATAATGATATTAAAACATTAAAAATAAAGTTGACCATATAGACAAAGTATTCGAGTACGTTATTATTATAAAGAAATTAAATTAATATAAAGTCAATGATAGACAAAATGATCATGGGATTAAGGATGAAATCATGTTACTATGTTCCTTGTAAATTATATTAATAATCCCACTTACTTTTTATTTAAATAATTATGTTCGCTAGCAAATTAGCTTTAAATTTTCTCTTCATTATTCAATCATATACATTTTTTTAATATTTGATATTAATTCTCTTAATAAATTAATCAATCTTATACTGTGATTCATTATAAATAAGGTGATCATTATCATTATATATTTTTCTAGTTGATATATGCTTTTAATTGAGCCGTGGATTATAAAATTTATGAAACAAAAATATACGAATATTACGTGGGTTCATATAAAATGTCTTATTAACTTTATTTTTGTGTTTGAATTATAGTAAAAAAAAAAAATATATATATATATATTTAGTTCTAAATAAATGAAAAAGGAGAAGAAAAACTTATAATTGAAGCAATAAAATGGTTCTTACATACTTTTTATATAGGATTGTAGGGGACAAGGCGGTGGTTGATGAAATGAATTCTCGTGACACCTGGCAGTAAGGGCATGGCATAGATTCACCATCAGCACATGACGTGGCAGATTCACCATATCTGGTTGGTCTGTCCGTGTGGACAATCCGGTCCCACCGTATTCACGTCCACATGGCACATCTCATTTTTATTTGCCCACGCAAATTCCACCTCACCTGCTCCTACCCTCCACGTATGGGAAACCAACAATTTTCTCCCTTTTTTTTTTTCTCTCATTTACATAATTTCAGTTTTTTTTAAAAAAAAAAACATGATCACACTCGATAGAAAATTATAAGATTAATATTAATATTAATATTATTATTATTATTATATATTTCTTGTGTTTGACCGGTAGATAAAGCTAAAATGAACCTCTTACGATTGAGAATCATCGCTACAAATTTTTTATTTTTTTAAACGCAAAAAAGTATTAAAAATAAATAAATAAATAAACTAAAAAACGTCGAAAAATATATTTATTTGTCTTGATAAATTAGTTAATACTAATACATTATACGTCGACAATTCTTTTAAGTTTCTAAACATGTTTATTGATGCAAAATGACATCATGTTTACCTTATTTTTCTACCTGCTTCACATTAGAATCGACATATATAGCTCTATGGTGATGTCAAATGCACTTGCATAGCTTCGTTCTACCACCATTTTTTAATTCTTAAATTTATTTAGTTCAAACATATATGTTTTATTCTTTGTATTTCTAAGTAATAACAATAGTA